ATAAAAACACTAGAAGAAAACGTCCGCAGAACCATCCAGGACATAGGCATAGGCAAGGACTTCATGACTAAAACACCAAAAGCAATGGCAATAAAAGCCAAGATGGACAAATAGGATCTAATTAAAATTCAGAGCTTCTGATGGACAAATAGGATCTAATTAAAATTCAGAGCTTCTGTACAGCAAAAGAAACCATCATTAGAGCAAATAAGCAACCAAAAGAATGGGAAAAAATTTTTGCCATCTACCCATCTGACAAAGGGCTAATATCCAGAATCTACAAAGAACTAAAGAAGATTTACAAGAAAAAAAACAAACCCATTCAAAGTGGGCAAAGGAATATGAACAGACACTTTTCAAAAGAAGACATATATGAGGCCAGCAAACATATAAAAAATGGTCATCATCACCGGTCATTAGAGAAATGCAAATTAAAACCACATTGAGATACCATCTCACATCAGTTAGAACATTGATCATTAAAAAATCTGGAGACAACAGATGCTGGAGAGGATGTGGAGAAATAGGAACACTCTTACACAGTTGGTGGGAGTGTAAATTAGTTCAACCATTGTGGAAGACAGTGTGGTGATTTCTCAAGGATCTAGAAATAGAAATTCCATTTGACCCAGCAATCCCATTACTAGATATATACCCAAAGAACTATAAATCATTCTACTAAGGGGCCGGGCGCAGTGGCTCATGCCTGTAATCCCAGCACTTTGGGAGGCCGAGGCGGGTGGATCACGAGGTCAAGAGATCGAGACCATCCTGGTCAACATGGTGAAACCTCGTCTCTACTAAAAATACAAAAAATTAGCTGGGCATGGTGGCGCGTGCCTGTAATCCCAGCTACTCAGGAGGCTGAGGCAGGAGAATTGCCTGAACCCAGGAGGTGGAGGTTGCAGTGAGCCGAGATCGCGCCATTGCACTCCAGCCTTGGTAACAAGAGCGAAACTCCGTCTCAAAAAAAAAAAAAATCATTCTACTATAGAGACACATACACACATATGTTCATTGCAGCATTGTGTACAATAGCAAAGACCTGGAACAAATCCAAATGCCCATCAATGATAGACTGGACAAAGAAAATGTGGCACATATACACCATGGAATACTACACAGCCATAAAAAATCATGAGTTCATGTCCTTTGTAGGGACTTGGATGAATCTGGAAACCGTCATTCTCAGCAAACTGACACAAGAACAGAAAGCCAAACACCACATGTTCTCACTTATAGATAGGTGCTGAACAATGAGAATACGTGGACTCAGGAAGAGAAGCATCACATACTGGAGGCAGTTGGAGGGCGTAGGGGAGAGACAGCGGGGGGAGGGGAAGGAGGGGAAAAAAAAAAAAGAAGAAGAAAGAGTAAAGAGATGGTGGGTTCGGCATGTTACTTTACGTAAGACATCAGGAAGAGGGAGTAGCAAGTGCAAAAGTCCTGAGGCAATAATGAACTTAGTGTGCTGAAGGGACTGAGATAAGACAGGAGTCAATGAAGCATAGTGAATGAGGGGTAAGAGGGCTTAAAGACATAGAAAAGGGCCATATTTTTAGGGTCATATAAATATGGTAGACTGTATTTCACAATAAGTGTGATAGGAAGCCATTTGCAGAATCTTACATGCAAGAGTGACATGACTGTATTACTTTTTTTAAAAAAAACACTTGATTAAAATATGATTGTCATATCAAAATCTGTACATACTTAATGTATATAGCTTGATCAGTTTGGAGATAAATATATACCCCTGAAATTACCACCAAAATTTCTTACGTAAATCTATCCACCACCTCTGAAAGTTTCTTTCTGCCCTCTTTATTTATTAGGATTTGTGATAAAAACACTTAAAACAAGAACTACTTAAAAACACTAAAACAAGAAGGTTGAACCAAATTTTTAAGTATATGATATTCACTATTTTTAGGCACTATGTTACACAGTAGATCTCTTGGACATATTTATCTTGTATAGCCAAACTTTATGCCCTTTGAATAATACTTCCTCATTTCCTCCTCCTCCTAGCCTCTGGCAATCACCATTCCATACTCTGCTTCTATGAGTTTGGCTATTTTAGATTCACCATGTAAGTGAGTTCATAAAGTACTTTCCCTTCCATGTTTGCTTTATTTAACATAATGTCCTCCAAGTTCATCTATGTTGTCACAAATGGCAGGATTTCCTTCTTTCTGAAGTCTGAATATTTCATTGTATGTATATATCATTTTCTTTATCATCTAACAATGGACGTTTAGGTTGTTTTCATATGTTGGCTATTGTGAATAATGCTATGATAAACATGGGAATACAGATAGCTTTTCAAGATTCTGATTTCAATACCTTTGAACATATATCCAGAAGTGGGATTGCAGGGGCATATGGTAGTTCTATTTTTAATTTTTTGAGAAATCTCCATACTATTTTCCATAGTGACTATACCAACTTACACTGACACCAGCAGTGTACAGGGCTTCCCCTTCAACTACATTCTTTTTTTTTTTATCCATTTATTTATTTTATTGCATTTTAGGTGTTGGGGTACATGTGAAGAACATGCAAAATTGTTGCATAGGAACACACATGGCAGTGTGATTTGCTGCCTTCCTCCCCATCTACATTCTTAATGACATTTGTTACCCTTTGGATTTTATTAATACTGGCCATTGTAACAGGTGGTATCTCATAACAGGAGTGGCATCTCCTGCGGTTTTATTGCATTTCCCTGATGAGTACTGATGTTGAGCACCTTTTCATACACCTGTTGATCATTTGTATATCTTATTTGGAAAAATGTCTATTCAGTTCCTTTGCCCATTTTTTAATCAGATTGTTTTTTCATTATTGAGTTGTGTGAGTTTCTCATAAATTTGAATGTTAACTGTTTAGCAAATATGTGTTTTACAAATACATTCTCCCATTGCATAACCTGCCTTTTTATTTTGTTGATTGCTTCCTTTGTACAACTCTTTCATTTCCTTTGTTATATTTCTCAGTATCTTTATGCTTTTAAGGTTGCTTTTTAAATTTCTTTGTGGATCATTCATTATTAGTGTATAAAAGTATTGTAATTTTTGTATGTTGATTCTTTTTACCCTGAAATTTTACTGAATTTATTTATTAGTTCTATCAGTTTTTTATGGAGTCTTTAGGGTTTTCTACACATAAGATCATGCCATCTGCAAACAAAGATAATTTTACTCCTTCTTCTCTGATTTGGATGCCTTTTATTTCCTTTTCTTGTCTAACTGCTCTGGCTATAACTTTTAACAGTATGTTTCACACAAGTAGCAAGAGTGGGCATCTTTGTCTTGTTCCGGATCTTAGAGGAAAAGCTTTCCGTTTTTCATCAAGTATGTTAGCTATTGGCTTGTCATACACGGCCTTTTTATGTTGAGGTACAGTCTTTCTATACCTAGCTTGCTGATAGTGTTTATCATGGAAGGGTGCTGAATTTTGTCAGATGCTTTTTTTTCATCTATTGAGATGATGATGTGATTTTTACTCTTCATTCTGTTGATGTGGTATATGAATTAATTGATTTGCTTATATTGAAAATCCTAATCTTTTTCAGGATTTTTGCATCCATGTTCATCAGGTATATTGACCTGTAGTTTTCTTGTGGCATCTTTGTTGGGGCTTGATAGCGGGATGATGCTAGCCTCATAAAAAGAATTTGAAATCTTCCCTTCTATTATTTGTGAGAGTTTTTAAATGATTGCTATTAGTGACTGAATGTGGTGGCTCACACCTGTAATCCCAGCTACTAGGGATGCTGAGGAAGAAAAATCACTTGAGCCCAGGAGTTCAAGGTTACAGTGAGCTATGATCATGCCACTGCAATTCAGCCTGAATGAAGGCGTGAAACCTTTTATTAAATCAATAATAAAAATAAAAATAATTGGCATTAATTCTTCTTTAAATGTTTGGTAGAATTGACCTGTGAGGTCATCTGGTTTTTCTTTGTTGAAAAGTTTTTCATTACTGAAAATCTCCTTGTCACTGGTCTGATTAGACTCTGTTTCTTCTTGATTTCATTGTGATCAGATATATGTTTCCGGGAATAGGAATGTATGTATTTCTTCTAATTATCCAATTTGATGGTGTATTATTGTTCATAATAGTATTTTATGATCTCTTTATTTCTGTGTCATTAGTATTACATTTTTAGATCATTCTGTATCTTTTTACAATCACAAACTCATTCATTGCTAGTGGGAATACAAAATGGTGCAACCACTTTGGAAGACAGTTTTGCAGTATTTTAGAAAACTAAACACATTCTTATCACACAATCCAGCAATCACATTCCTTATGATTTACTCAAAGGAGTCGAAAAATTATGTTCACAGAAAAACCTGCACACATGTGTTTCTAGCAGCTTTATTCATAATTGCCAAAATGTGGAAGCAATCGCAATATCTTTCAGTAGGTAAATGAATAAACTGTGGTACGTCTAGACAACAGATGGAATATTATTCAGCACTAATAAGAAATGAGCTATCAAGCCAGAAAAAAGACATGGAAGAAACTTAATTGCGTATTACTAAAAGAAAGAAGCCCATCTGAAAAGGCTACATATTATATGATTCCAACCACATGACGTTCCGCAAAAGACAAAACTCTGACAACAGTAATAAGATCAGTGGTTGCCAGGGATTGTGGGGAGGGAGAGACAAGTAGGCAGGGCAGAAAAGATTTGTAGGGCAGTGAAACAATTCTGTATGATACTATAATGGTGGACACATGATATTATACATTTGCCAAAACCCAGAGAATGTTCAACACCAAGAGTGAGCCCTAATTTAAACTGCAGACTTTGGGTAATTATGATGCATCAGGGTAGGTTCAGCAATTGTAACAAATGTACCGCTCTGGTGAAAGACGTTTATAATGGTAGAGGCTGTGCATGGGAAGCAAGAGGGGTATAAAATGGAAATTTTCAGTACCTATAACTCAATTTTGCTGTGAACCTAAAACTTCTCTAAACACTAAGGTTTGTTTTTTAGAAACTGATGTTTATTTTCCATCAACCTTATTTCCATGTTGCTTGAAAGCCTATGCAAGAACAGCTTAAAACCATTCAGTGGTTGCTCCTACCCATTCAGTGGCCTGAGCAGTGGGAGCTGTAGACCAGTCTTCCCTAGTAGTCTTTAGTAAGGAACTGTTGAATAGGCACAGAGGGCACCTGCATGCCTTCAGACCAGTCTGCTCGGGGTGAGCAGCAGTGAACTCAGGAGCTGGAGAAGTCCATTCACCCTGAAACTCCTCCTTGATCATATCCTTTTTAGCAGCAGCCTGCTCTTCTTTTTCAACCTCTTTAGGATCTCTGTAGAAGCAGAGATCAGGCATGACCTCCCACAGGTGCTCACCATTTCGGTGCCACACATCTGCAGAACTTCCCAGGCTGGCACCCGCCTCATCAAACCCACTGAGTGAGCTCCCTCGTTGTTGCATGGGATGACAATGTCCACATGGAGCAAAGGAGAATCTGTGTTACACAGAGCAGTGGTAGCTGGGTTAATATAAGATAACTTCATGAGAGGCTGGTGGTCAGCCCTGCAGTCAGTAACCACAAGAAGCCATGGCTCCCAGAAGGCTGCCTGGATCTGGTTAGTGAAGGTTCCAGGAGTGAAGTGGCAGCAATTGGAGTGTCTCCAGTGGCAGCAGCAGACTTCAGCACGGCCCTCTGGCCAGTATTCCTGGAGGATGTAAAAGTGACATCAGCAGGGTTTTCAATGTCAATAGTGGCACGAGCTGCCAGGAGAAGCTTCTCCCAGGTCCTCTTCAGATTTACGATGCAGATGCCATCATTTTTCCTTTTACGGATGTACTGTTCAATCTGGAAGTCAAGGTTGGTGCCACCTAAGTGAGTTCCTCCTGCAGGAAACAAGGACATCCTCCTCCGTCATTTGCAAGAAATTAAGCGCTCCAGACATTGTGAAAGTTTCCCTTTGAGTTACGACAGGAATCAAGAACAATGCCATATGGACCCCTCTGTGGGTAGTACGGAAAGGCAAAATTAAGTATGTTTTAATAAAGATCATTCCGAACGCCATATGAAAATAAAATAGAGACAGTTGAAGGTAGAAGTAGAGAAATAAGTGAGGAAGCTACTACTAGTCTGGTTAGGAAATAAAGGAAGCCAGCATTGAGATGGCAGTGGTGGGGGTGGGGAAGACAAGAGCAGAATTGGAGATTGTTTTGAAGGTAGAACTGACAGGTTTGTTGATGGACTACACGTTGATGGAAGTTTGAAGGAAAAACCGATTTTTGACCTGATAATACTAAGAAAGGAAGACTAAGGGAGAAACAGATTGGGAGTGGAATCAAAATCTCTGCCCTGGATATTGATAGAAATCAGCATGCCAGTATGGAAGCAGACGGGATTTAAAGAGTCACAGGCAAGAACTCAAATACTTACCAGCCAGAATCCTCAACTAGAAACCCAGAATCCAGAACCATAAACCAGAATACTGAAATGCTACAGCCTCTATCCCTTTCTTCTAGAAATCAGAAGACAAAGACCATAGGAAGGGACATAGATCCAATTGCATGTGCCTTCTGAGAGCTGAGGTAAGCTGACATGCTTGTACAAGCCTGGTGCAGCCTCCTGCCCAAGATCAAAGTAAACTCTACATTGCCATAGCAAGAAAGCTGCTTAAACCTTCAGCACAATAACCCAGTGCCAGACCATGAGCAGCAGACAAGGGCATAGAAAAGAACTCATGAGATGGATAATAACGCAATACCTTTTGCCTTGAGAAAGTTGGGACCTTCCACAAGTAAAACGGATTCAACCATCATGAACTAATGGGTGAAGCCCCGTATTGGGTACTACAGGGCCGCTTCAGAGGCATATAAGACAAATCACAGATCTTCAAGAGATGTCAGCCAAGTGGACTTCAGAAAGTGGCTAGAAGCTAGAGATCTGATCCTGACATGTGAGGGAAAACCTCGCCCCACATCACCCTCCACCTTCACACCTTCCTGGAATCTTTTTGTGGAAAGTTAGCTGAGTTTTCCAATATGCTATGTTAAAAGGCATCATGAGAGTGTGAACTTGAGAGTTTAGAGTGAGCCCCTATCTCTACCACCTGCTTTTGCCAGTCCTAGTTTCCTGCTACAAGGGCACACAGTGACATGTCAATCAAAGCTGTCTTCATAGCAGGGACGTAAAGAGGCCTATAAAGAGATGGGGAGGCCAGACATAGTGGCTCACACCTGTAATCCCAGTACTTTGGGAGGCCAAGGTTGGCGGATCACCTGAGGACAGGAGTTCAAGACTGCCCTGACCTACATGGTGGCAAAATCTCATCTCCACTAAAAAAAAATACAAAAATTAGCTGGGTGTGGTGGTGAGCATCTGTAATCCCAGCTACTTGGGAGGCTGAGCCAGGAGAATCACTTGAACCCGGGAGGTAGAGGTTGTAGCCAAGATTGTGCCACTGCATTCCAGCCTGGGGGGCAGAGCGAGACTCCACTAAAAAAAAAAAAGAAAGAGAGAGAGATAGGGAGTGATTTTCACAACTCCTTGACATAGCATCCTTCAAGCGCCAATGGCCAGGCTCTCCGTCCCTTCTTAAGGGGACCTGGGTTCCACTTCTCACCTTCTGACCTATAAGGAGGTTACGTTCTTGATTTTTTCTTTATCAAATGAGTACTACAACACTGTACGTTAGAGCATTTGCATGGGGCAAATACCTGTCTGGACTACCTTCCTTCTCCAATCCTTCACCTGTGACAGGCATCACTAATTAAACACTGTGTACTTTTCCACCAAGCAAGAATGCAACCTCAGAAATCCTTTTCTACAGGCAGCGCTGCTAATCAAAATTACTGTGTGAGGTAAAAATCTATTTCCCATCTCTGGCATGGTGGTCAGTAGCAGAGAGTTTAGAATCAAATACAGTTCTGAATCCTGGATCTGTCATTACTGGTCTTTAGACCCTAGATCTCAGTTACTGTTTATTAGCTGTTTAATTTTGGACACATTAACTAAATCCTCTAAGCCTCAGTTTCTTCATCTGCTGTTCTTCAAAAGAAGAGCCCATGTGCCTAGGAAAGCTTAGGTCATGGAGACGTATTTATATTGAGGGGAATTGGACAAGGCTTCCCTGAAGAGAGAGAACTTGGGCTGAGACATGGGCCAAGATGGGACCCCTCTCTCTTCTTAAGAAGGGACGTTGCTGCATCAGAGAAGATCCATGAGGATGGAACATGGAGCTCAAGGGCTGGCAGGCAAAGGCCACACCCCTTAAGGCTTTTAGAAGATGTTAAGAATTTTGGTCATTGTCCAAAATACCATGGCTGACCAAACAAAGGATCGAGCAGGACGGGAGACATAATTTCCAATCTGGAAGACATGTCCACTGACTTTCCTATGGCAAAAACGTATCAGTGACAAAAAAGGACAAGGGTGGAGATGAGAGGACCAGTTAGGAAGCTGCTATAGTGCTCAGGGGAAAAGTCATGGTGACTCAGTCTAGAGAGGCAGTTCTGGAGCCTGAGAGAAGCAGGGGCAAATCAGAAACATATAAAAGGTTACATTGAAGAGGACTTGGTGATGAATGTAGGGTAAGGTCAAGGATGACTCCTGGAGTTTTGGCTTAGCCTTCTGAGTGAATGGTGGCAGCATTCGCTAAGAAAATAAACATCAAAGAAGACCATATACTTTTGTTTTGTTTTGATTTTCTGTGGGGGAAAATCTGTAGATCCAAGGAAAAAGGGTTAAATATGTAATTAAATATACAATAGCAAGAATGTAAACTAAAGATGAAATAATGAAGTCCAAAATCAGTCTTGCTGGCATATTTAACCAATGCTTGAATGGACACATACACCCAAAAGCTCCCCAACTCTCTAAGGTCACAAGAGAAGAGAATTCCAGCAGATTTCCTGAGCCCAACCTAGACGTACAAAACCTACAGCAGTGCTGACATCTACCCAAATGCCTACACTGAGCACACTTGTTCTTGCTACTTTTGCACAGAGTCTGGATGCTAAGTAATTGATCCTGGAATTGTAGAAGGCTAGATCTAGGAGAATGCTGCCTTCTGGCCACGTGGAAATGTACTGGGATGCAGCAAGCTAGAAAGAGAAGGTGCTGGCCTCGGAGAAAGGACACCTGGAGAGTCACCCTGTCCACTAACACTTCACTGGCTTCATTTTACAGATACAAAAATTGAGGCCTTAGAAGTAAAATGGCTTGCCCAAGTTTACAAGGAAGTTAGTTGCAAGACAAGGATCTAAATCTATATACTCCCAAAACTTTTTAGCATTTGCATTTTTCAAAAATTATTAAATCTACAATCACTCATAGAGAGTAAATGAAAGAGTCATTAGCAAGCCCACGAGTCTAACCTCTTTTCAGACTCCTGATTTCATTCATTCATTCATTCAACAAACACACACTCAGTACCTAACGTCAGACACAAGGCCAAAGAGAAAGTTGGTATAAATTCAGACCTTAGTTAGTCCAAGAACTGGACAAAGGATTTGACTGTGCAGGTGAAATATAATGTTTTAAAAATTAAATCATATCTGTAGAAATTCAAAAACTTTTTCCAGCTTTCTAAAGATACTTTCCAAAGATCTCCATAGCAATTCACTTTCATCAAGTAATTTGTCTTCATGAAGCCTGAGGTATAGAAGCTCAAGTCGCCACAAGGATTTGATTTTCACAGAGGGCAAGAGCACACAAAAGGTTTAACTCCTACCTACTTTCCGCAAGGAACATGCTCCCTCACGTGGGAACAGTAAGATAGTGTTCCACAAGTCACAATGGCCCTGTCACATGAGGGTCATAGATTTAGTTCAGAGAGGCCTCTAGAAGTTCAGTTCTCTATCAGGAGCAGCCCAATGTATTTGAGCCCCTTTGATATCTGGTTATCAGGGTGAAAACAGAACTTGTGGCGCTAGATACCTCTGATCAACCACAATAGGCAAGGAGTCTTTATTGCTATTCTGCCTAGAGCAGGCTTAAAAAAAAAACTGAATAAAAAAGAAGAGCAAAGGAAAAGATTAACCAGAGCTTAAATCTGCTGTTCTAGTTTGTGTTTTGCACAAACTTCATATTCTTTGTTTCTTCAGCCCCGTACATGGGACACTGGATCACACTCATATACTATCATTTAAGTGATGACTGCAGGCCAGTTGGAGCATTCCCACCACACAAGCGTTCTTAACCTTCTCCCTGGGCTTGCATTGCCTACACAAATTTAAGGCCAAAATGGGTAAGTTTGATAATATAAAATGAAGGTGACATTTTACAGCCATGAAAATTAAAATTATGAGGCCTAGAGAGCAATGTAAAAAAAATGCTTATGATATATTAGTAAGAGAATTTAAAAGGTCACATATGCTTTGACTGTGACTCATGAAAACATGTTTGAATTCAGTAAGACTAGATATGTAACTAGCATATTGCTATTTGTAAATGATCAAGTGTTGGATTAAAGTGAAAGGCTTAAGGATTAGTAGAGAAGAAGGAATATTTTTCAGTGTTCTTTGTTTCAGGGTTTTTAAAATTATTTTTGATAGAACCCAATATGGTAGAGAAATGCTCCCCACAAGAAGCAGGTGATAGAATGGAATTTTTTCACTTTTTCCTCTAGTCTGCATATTTGTAAACATCAGTTATCCGAGTTCAGCCGGTAACAAATCAGAAGACATTTATTTGAAACTCAAATATTGATGAAAATTTCATAAGGAGTAACTAACTAACGTCACTGGATCCCCATTTACACAGGGAGCATCTGTGAGACCATGAGCTTGGGGTTTGAAAAAAAGAAAAGCTTTGATCAAATCCCAATCTTGTCATTTCCTTCATTTCCTCATCTGTGAAGTGGGAAGGAGAAGGAAGAAATGTTTGCTGAGTGCTGACCATGCACCAGGCTCTGGGCTGAGCAATTTCCCATACATCATTTCATCTCATCTT